CCCCAAAACCCCAAAACCCCATAATCTTGAAATATCTTTGTATAAATTAACTGGTTGAGTTTTATTATTTTAAATTCAAAATATAGTAAAATGATAAATGGTCACAAGTATGCTAAATTAAGGCTGGAAAAATTTCTTAAAATACAACACAATAAACAGTAGATCATTAACAATAAAATGAACTAAAATCTGATAAAAATTTAGTATGATGATAAATCATATGAATTCCCAGCATTATCTGTATCGCCTTATACTCTATTCAAATAGATTTCTGAAAAAGTAAGTAAGCTTGTCAATTTACTAATGATTACTATTTTAGGCGAATCTTTAGAAGTCCCAATAATCATTCCCTTTACTGGCCTCGATATTTTATCAAAATCCTGAGTTTCAAAACAACATTGTTGACCCCGATCAGATTGAAGAAGATTCTGTTTAAATGAATCAAGATAAATGGCAGTATGTGGATTTATAAAAACCAATAATGGGCGATTGCTAAATAAAATTCCTAACTTAGGAAGATAATAAAGATATTGTTTAAAACACTCTATGGCATTCCTCTGCACATATATTGGGTGCAGCTATCGAAGAAGTATATGATGATAGCTTAATGACCATGGGTCCAGCAATTAAAGAAGGATTTTTCTATGATTTCCATACTCAATCAAAGGTCACATAGGAGACTTACAATGATTTATAAAAGAACATAGATTAGATAATCAAGAAAAATCATAAATTTGAAAGACTAGAAATTTCAAAGGAAGAGGCATTAGACCTGTTTTCATATAATAAATTTAAAGTAGAATTGATAGATAAAAAAGTGCCTTTAAATGGTTGAACAAGCATTTATAAAATTGGAGAATTTATTGATCTATGCACTGGACCTCATTTAAGTTAGACTGGCTAGGTGAAAGCATTTAAGATAACTAAACACTCCTCAGCTTATTGGCTTGGTGATTAGAAGAAGGAATCATTGTAGCGAGTTTATGGAATATCTTTTTTATCAAAGGATGAAATGAAAGCATATGAAAAAGCAAAGGAAGCTGCCTTGAAAAATGATCATAGGAATATTGGTTAGGATTAAAGCCTATTTTTCTTCAATAAATTCTCTCCTGGAAGCGCCTTTTTCTTAAGTCACGGGGCAAAGATATATAACAAATTAGTGGATTTAATGAGGAATGAGTATCTGAGAAGAGGATATTAAGAAGTTCTATCTCCAAATCTATATCATATAGATTTGTGGAAGGTATCAGGACATTACAGAAATTATAAGGAAAATCTTTTCTTGATTAAGAATTAAGATCACGAAGATCAAACCAAGCCATTAGAAACCTACGGACTTAAGCCAATGAACTGTCCTGGTCATTGCTTAATCTTTAAGAATCGTTCCTCATCTTATAAAGAACTACCAATTAGGTATGCTGATTTTGGAGTACTTCACAGAAATGAGATCAGTGGTGCACTCACTGGACTAACTAGGGTAAGAAGATTTTAATAAGACGATGCTCATATATTTTGCCGAAAAGATCAAATAGAGGAGGAAATAGAAAAATGCTTAGATTTCTTGAACACAATATACTCGTTATTTGGATTTAACTGGCAAATATTTCTAAGTACTAGACCAGAATCATCAATGGGCTCTGATTAGTAATGGTAGGAGGCTGAGTTGTAGTTAACAAATGCTCTAAATAAAACAGGTAAACCTTGGAAATTAAATAAAGGTGATGGAGCGTTTTATGGTCCTAAAATTGATATCATCATTTAGGATAGTGTGGGTAGAGATATTTAATGCGGAACTATACAGCTAGATTTTTAATTGCCAATTAGATTCAATCTTTAATATTCTGCAGGACACTCTACCGCAGAAGATAATTCAGAGTAAGATTAAGATGAAAAATCAGGATGTCATTATGATAAAACTGAGTTAGCTAGGGAAGTATTTGAGCCAGATGAATTTAGTTCTTAATAATTTGTCTGGGAAGAGCAACCATTAAGGAGAGGACATGAGAGGCCAGTTATTATTCATAGAGCAATTTTGGGTTCTGTTGAGAGATTTATTGCTATAATTACAGAGCATCTAGCTGGCAAGTGGCCTATCTGGTTATCTCCTAGATAAATTCAAGTATGCAGTGTTTCGGAAAAATATATCGACTACTCAGCATTAGTATATAAATAACTGAAAGAACTCGGCTATGAGGTAGAACTAGATGTAAGCAATACAAGTGTGAGCAAGAAAGTTAGAAATGCCTAGCTAGATCAATCAAACTTAATTCTAATAGTGGGTGAGTAAGAGGAGAACTCAAATGCTGTAGACATTAGAACAAGAGAAGGAGATAGGCTTGTAAGTTATAAAATAATTATAATGTTTAAAATTAGGGTAAAATGACAATTAGAGAATTATCGGATTATATAAATTCACAATATCCACCAGGAATTCCACTACCTACTAGGAAATATAACAGCTATGATTGATTTTAGATATTAAGCTTCAAGACCTAGATTCAAACAGTGTCTGGTATGCTATGTGAAGTTTGATTTATAGATCATAATCCATGCAATCTACTTTCTTCTAAATTTAATCTTAATTTCATAACTCTATCTTACCTTGATCTCTACCTACCTCTTCTACTGGGGAGTTTGAAAAGTTTTTGCTAATAAAATGCAAGCTATTAGCAGAAGATTTACCAATTTAAGAATTGAGCATTCCATGACCAGATCCAGCATTAGCCCATTTCCTCTTATCATTTAGACTATTCTGTAAACTTCCTAGGTTAAATGATGCCTCATGATTATCTAAGCCTCCATTGTTATCATGAACTGCATGAGATCTTCTGAATTAAGAAAGTGATTGAATCAATGGCTAATCTTAATCAAATTCATTTAGACTCTTCATATACGCTTCTCTTTCTCTCATTATATACATCTAAAAATCAGTAGTTCCTACATTGCTAACAGCCTTTCTACCATCAAGATTGAGTTTCTCCTTGAGTTTTTTCATGTAATCTTCATAGTTGAATCTGGGAGCATTATCTTGAAGATTTTACTATACCTACGCCTTTTAAACAATAGTCTTTGCTTGCTCATACCTTGAATTCGGAGAAAGATTCTCTTTTCTTGCCTCATAAGCATTTGGTGGGTTAATCGGATAGAAAGCGGGTCCTCCTGAGTATCTTTAAATTTTGTAATAGCCTATGTCTTTGGCGCTATCAATGAATTAACTTCCATTATCTTATGAAGTCTTGATGAATTCAAATCTCATGGTTTCAATTGTTTTTTGTCTAGTTTTGATGTCATTTTTATACATTTCAAGTTTAACTCTATCTTCCTTGATGCTTTCCCTCTCCATCTCTAGGTCTTCTCTCAGTTTTCTCAGCTCATCGAGCAATCTATCTTTATTGGCTTTGAAGAACCCGATCTTTTCCGAGTCAAAGTGATCTCTTTCTGCTTGTTCCTTGATCTTCATGGCCTCTCTGTCAAAATGCGACTTTTCAATACAGTACTTGTCTAACTGCTCATGCAACTTCTCGTTATCCATCACGACCTGCTTATTTTCTTGTTCAAATTCTTACTCTCTCATTTAAAACTCTCTCTCCTCTTCACTGACATCTTGCTACTATTGCTTAGCCTCTCTTATTTTTTGCTTCATGTCACGTTCTTACTACTGCATCTCAGTTTACATCTGCTCTCTTTAATTTTAAAGAGACTTTTTAAGTTGATTCAACTCATCAGCTCTTTCAATTGATTGCTTTTCTTCTTAGGAGATCAAAACTGTAAGTCTCTCTCTGTCGGCTTTTGTTCTCCTTATTTCCACCTCCATATCAATTGAATGATTTCTAGACTCTCTGACTTACTGCTGGTGTTCAGCATCGATTTTATCTAGGTCGTTATTTATGTCATTCTTTTCATTTTCAAATATCAACTTCTGCTCTTGCTATCTTTGATTAATATCTTCCATCTCTAGAGCTAATTTCTTTTTTCTTAGTTCAACTTATGCTTTTCTCTCAGCAAGTTTCTTTTTCTTGTCCATAAGCTCTAGATCTCTCTTGACTAAATCATCTTCTCTCCTTTTCAACTCACTTTCTCTCTCCTAAGAGAGTCTAGACACCAATGTACTTATATTTCCAGATGATTTTTATATTTCCTGCGCGAAGGTATTTAACTGCACTTGCTGTTCCAATTACTTTCTCAAAGTGTCATGCTATGAATCATAGACCTTTTTCTAACTCTCAAGATTTCTTTTATACTGAACTTCTCTATTATCAACATCTATTTTATGTAGATTGCCTATTTTCTCCTTCTCTAACTCAATGGTCTTATTCATCTCTTCGATGAGTTTACGCTTCTCCTCATTAAACAGCTGTAGCTTCATTTGGTGCTTCTCCTCTAAATGCTTCATGTTCTTTTTGTGTTCCTCTCTAGTATCATCAACATCTCTTCTGTTTCTTTATTCCTGAGCCTTCTACTTTTACCTTTCATCTTCTATCTACCTCTTTACTAAGCTAAATTCATCTAGTGGTTGCTATTGTTAGACCTACTGATTTTTCTATAGTTACTGAGAGTTCTACAGCTATTAAGACTGGTTCTAATTGCTATCATTGAAATTCTAGTTTATTTTCCTTGTGGATTAGTTCTTGCTCTAGCCTGCTCCACCCATATAAGGAGTGTTGTTATTGTAATCATTATTTTTATACTGATCCTAGCCTATTTCAGATGAAATGGTCTGGGCTCTTCCATCAGAATTATTTAAAATGTTTCCTTGAATTGATTATAGTCCTCCACCTGTCCTAATGCTTTAATTACCAATTCCACTGCTGTTCAGGTTTTGTTTATTCACTATACCTTGCTTCTTTTTGCTTTTAGACTTTTTGCCTGAAGACTTCTATGCACTTATCCCTGACTTTGCAAACATGGTTGGTACATAGCCACCTGTATCATCACTATCCTCATCATCGTCGTCTCCTCTATCTTCATCATGATCTTCAATGAATGACTAGTCTTCATCTTCATCATTATCTATTGATCCCATTGGTTTGGCATGTTGAGTGCCTGCCATTGAATGCGCTGATTTATTACTCACTCCATCCTTTGACTCTTATAGCAGATTCAAGATATTATCATCTCCGTGGCCTGAGCCTAGACCTCCTCCTCCGATAAATGGATCATGCTATTATTATGGCTAATGCTTTGGGGGCTTGCCAAATAGATTCCCTCCTGTGTTTGGTCTTTAAAATGTATTCTATTGTTGGATTGCTTAGTTCTAATACCCACCGAATAAAGGTTACATGCCAACTGGTGATGTTTAGACTCTATCTAAGTTAATTTGACCCATTGGATTTTACTAGCCCATATTATTGAAATCTCCAGTGCCAGGTCTCTACATAGAATTATTTTGTGCTCTATTTGGAGGAGGTTAACTTCCTCCTGCCATTTTTTTGACTGTTTTAGATCGAGAAAAAGGAGTCTCTATAACATCAATTTAAGACTCTTGATTTCCAGAGGCATTGGATTAAGCACCACCTCCAAAGACACCATAACCTCCAAAGTTATTTGGATCTTGGCTTCCATATCCAGAATTATTGTCTATGTCATCACCCCCAGTGAGTCCTGCAAATCTATTTTAGCTCTTGCTAGTTTACTGTTTGCTCACTTACAGTTCTTAAATTGTGTTTTTGTTGTCAAATCTATTTGGTCTGTTGTTGTGAGAATTGTCTACTTGCTGATTAGGAGTTGATGATCCACCTAAACCAAATAAAGCTGCTTTCTTATCATTTATTGAGTTATTTACATTCGCTTTTGCTTTTGGTTTGTCCTCAAGATCTTCAAACTCATCAAAGTTGTCTCTTCCCCAGGGATCTGTTGAAGATTTGAATTTCTATTTGCTATTACCATAGGCATCCTGTTTTTTATTTGTTGACCCTCCTCCGAAACCGAAATCACTTTCTTTTTGCTAAGATGTCTACTTTGCTCCAAGTCCCTTTTTCTCTTCAAAGTCATCTAAAATATTGTCGATGTCATCATCCTTTTTTTTGCCGCTTGAAGTTGTAGGTTTGGCTCTTCCAAGTATGCCAAAGCCTGCATAATTAGATCCCATACTACTACGACCATCATCTCTACCTTATTCTTTTGCAGTAAAGGACCCTGTCATTTTTTAAAGTCCCGTTCCCCCAATTGCCTGAATTTTTGATTAATCTTTTTCATTCCATTCCTCAAGTCCCCATAGGTCATCATCATCATCGAGGTCTTTCTTTGATTTTTTGCCAAATGTGGTAGCGGACTCAATATTTTTATTTAGAGTTGGAGGTATGATACTTGACTTAGTATTTTATGGTTGAATGGCTGATGGAATCCTCTTAGATTAACCGAAACTAAGCTGACTATTAACTGCTTTATCACCCCAACCAAAGTCATCATCATTTGCTGTTTTAGCTTTGTTTAACAAACTCGACGATGCTTTCGAGGCTACTGGTGTATTTTTAAAAGGTGCCTTAGATTTATTTACTGGAATGTCATCCAGCAAGTCATCAAGATCATCAAACATTTTAAAGTTATGAATTCAAATATAAAATAATTTAAATTTCTTAATTTGCTTGGATCACTTTCATGAATTATATATTCGGGGTTTTGGGGTTTTGGGGTTTTGGGG